TGAGGGAGGTGCCCTTCTCATGTGAGGGAGGTGCCCTTCTCATGTGAGGGAGGTGCCCTTCTCATGTGAGGGAGGTGCCCTTCTCATGTGAGGGAGGTGCCCTTCTCATGTGAGGGAGGTGCCCTTCTCATGTGAGGGAGGTGCCCTTCTCATGTGAGGGAGGTGCCCTTCTCATGTGAGGGAGGTGCCCTTCTCATGTGAGGGAGGTGCCCTTCTCATGTGAGGGAGGTGCCCTTCTCATGTGAGGGAGGTGCCCTTCTCTTGTCAGGGAGGTGCCCTTCTCGTTTCAGGTAGGTGCCCTTCTCATGTCAGGGAGGTGCCCTTCTCATTTCAGGGAGGTGCCCTTCTCATGTCAGGTAGGTGCCCTTCTCATTTCTGGGAGGTGCCCTTCTCATGTCAGGGAGGTTCGGAGGTGCCCTTCTCATTTCAGGGAGGTGCCCTTCTCATTTGAGGGAGGTGCCCTTCTCATTTCAGGGAGGTTCCCTTTCCCCTATCCCCCCCGGCAGATGGGGGAGAGGGCACCTCCCTGAAATGATGGCAGATGGCAGGGGAGCTAATGCTTCCCTAGCTATCTGCTGTTGTTTTTTTGTTTCTTTTTATTCCCTCAGCTCTCCGGCCGTCAGAATAAAATAAAAAAAAAAGACATCATGGGAATGAATAGCTAGGCTGTTAATGGCTATTTCCATTTCCAATTATTATAGACGAATACTTTGTAAATAAATGCCGGTTTCCTCGTTAATCCTGTCTGTGTCGTAAGCGCAGATACTGGGTCAGCGTTCTCGACAGAACACCGGCACTAACATTTTAAACAAGCGGCTGCCTGAGGTCCCGCGCTTGCTTGGGACCTCGGCAGCCTTCCTGTTAACCATGCGGTGCCATTGCAGTTGGGGGGGTGGGGGTGGGCCCTTCATGGTTTCTTGCACCGGGGCCCTGAAGGTTCTAGTTACGCCACTGCTCAGTACTATCTGAGTTTGTCCCCTTTTTCATAGGCATTTGGGTTGGGATTTCTTTAAGAAGGACAGAGGAGGGGGATCCATATTGAAGGCTATTTGAACTGGGAACGCGACATGTAGTCATTGTGGATACTATTATTTCTCCTGACTAGAGATAGATAAAATGAATGCTGGAACGCTCGGTTATATCCGATTTACAAACAAGTCATATTTATGCTGCTATTAGTATTGTCTCCCCACTCTCAGGATTAGGATTAAAGGTCGGGGGGGATATGATCTATTTCAGGTACCGTATTTGCCGGCGTATAAGACGGGGTTTGAGACCCCCCAAAATCGCCCGAAAATCGGGGGTCGTCTTATACGACGGGTATACTTCCGTGATTGGCTCAGCGCGGTATACTGTATGTAGCCGAAGCTACATACAGTATACCGAAGTATACCCGGCGTATAAGACGACCCCCGATTTTCGGGCGATTTTTTTGGGTCTCAAACCCCGTCTTATACGCCGGCAAATACGGTAAGTGCATTTAAACATTGTTTTGGGCTATACTCGTCTTAGACGACGAATATAGCCCCAAACCTATATTTTTACACAAAAAGTGGGGGGTCGTCTTATACGCCGGCAAATACGGTAATATCTGGGATTGATACTTTTCTATGTGCTTTTAGGACCGTGTTTCTTCTATCCTTTGCACATGTTGTGATCTTATATGGGAAGTTCCTATTTCTTTTATCATTTGCATAAAGCGGATTTACTATGTAATATCTGGAACCAATATCTCTTTACACGTCTACAAAATATGTTTTTCTTTTTCTTGTATGTGCAGATTGTGATGTTAAATAGAAGATTTTATTTGTGTTTTTTTTAATATGCAGATGAAAAGGTTAATAGTTGTCCCGCCCCCTTTGGGGGTGAGGAACTCGGGTATTTAACCCCTTCATGACTGAGCTAGTTTCTGTTCATAAATGACTGACACGCTTTTTTACATTTTTGCTGTGTGATTCTTCCACGGCAGTAATATACTTTCTTACTAAATGTACCCGCACATGTTATATATTGTTTTTTAGAGGACAGAGAAGGGCGATATAATTATATCACATATGTGTACCTAACGCCTCACTTAGTTTGAATAAAATATTTTTAAAAAAATGAGAAACAAAAACACTTTTTTCATAAGTTTTTATTATTATTTTTTTTTAGAAATTGTTTATGTCCCCGCTGCTCTCCGCGCCTGTGTTGGCGGAGGCAGCGGGGACACAGACCGCTGCATTCTGCCGCTGCCCCCCGTTACCTGCTCTGATGTCCCGGCCTCCTCTTCCGTCGATCGCCGATCTTCCGCTCCCCGGTCCGGATAGTCCTCAGCTCGCTGTCCAGGTCCGGCCGCGGCTCCTCTGCCCCGCCCCCCTGCCTCCTCGTCATTGCAGGCTGGGAGCCATACAATTGTAAAATGCAATAGCCAATAGCAAGCTGGCTATTTCACCCGCCCACTGCTTGCTGTCAATCAGCATGGGAGGACCTGATAGAGAACTTTCTCCTTCAGGCCCCTCCTCTGCTGATTGACAGCAGGCAGATGCAACAGCCAGCCTGCTATTGGCTATTGCAATTTGAAATATCCAATAGCAGGCTGACTATTGCTCCCAGCATTAAAATAAAAATAAAGAAAAAAAGTTTGAAAAAATAAAATTAAAAATTAAAAAAAATGTAAAAAAAGTGAAATAAATAAAAATTAAAAATGCAAACAAATAAAAAAAATAAAGTTTATAAAATAAAATTAAAAAATAGAAAAAACTTTTTTGGGTGTGTCATTTTAAATAAAATTTGTTTTATTATATTATAATCTTCTGAACAAGAGGAACAGACAGCAAAACAAACGTGACCTTTCCCTATGCTATCCAAAACAAAAAAATGTACCTGTTCCGACTTACATACAAATTCAACTTAAGTACAAAGCTAAAGTCCCTATCTTGTATGTAACCCGGGGACCGCCTTTAATTATAGTATAAAAAATATATATATTTATATATAATTTTTATTTTCCTCATTTTTTTTACACTTTGTAAAAAAAACACAAAACGATCAGGAGTGATACATTGTAGCATTGTGCCTGAAATGTATCACACAGCTTCATAAACATGGGGCCAGTCTATGGAGCTGTCAAAACGAATAGCAGAGAGGCGACTCACTCCGCTACCTCTCTGCTCTCTTCAGCTGTCAAATACCGGATCGCTATTTAGCGCTCCCTATTGTATGTAACGGCTTCATTCTTTCATTAATGATTGCCTCAATACTGACCCATCCATTAATGACTGGTAACCGGGGAAATCAGCGGTTACCGGCATTACAGAGCCGCAAATAACTCATCACTTACACTGTACGTCTCCCGTCACAAAGGGGTTAAGGCATGTTATTTTGATGTTTCCTTGCTACGGCTAAAGGCCCAGTTTTGGGGGCTGAAACATGTGAGTGTTTGTCTGTTTGCTGCTGTTATGCCTTTTTTACAAATAAAGTACTGGATGGACGTATCCCCTTGTGATCCCTATTGCTCAGTGAAGGCTCTGGCGGAAGCTTTACCAGGCACTGATGTGCAAGTAGCGGGATTGGAGACAAGAGGGTTGGGCTGTTCCATGTTTCTAAACCGCTACAAGTTGGCTATTGCACTCGCCCACTGCTGCTGCCAACCAGTAGACGAGGACCTGATGGAGTTCTTTCTCCTTCAGGTCCCTCCTCTGCTGATTGACAGCAGCAGTGGGCAGGTGCAATAGCCAGCCTGCTATTTAAAAAAAAAAAAAAAAAACAGACAGCGGGGAAAGGTTTAGTCTGCTAGATATTGCAGAGTAATCCTTTCCGGCATAAAAATGTTTCTCTCGTGGGCGTCCGGGAGACGCTATCTTATAGCGGGAGGATCCCAGAACATCCGGGAGAGTTGAGATGTCTGCCGCCCCCCCCTTACTCTCTCTCTTTTTCCTGCATAACAATAATATTGATAGATGGGGCTCTGGACTGGTGATCTGGCAGTATAAACCCCCTGAGACCTGGAGATGGGACTAAACTGGAGCAGACAGAATCTGGAGCAGCTGTGCAGGGCAGCCAATCAGCTCCTCTCTTTCATTTTCAAATCTTAACTGAACAAACTGATGAGAGAAGCTGATTGGTTGCCGAGCGCGGCTGCTCCAGATTCTGTCTGCTCCAGTTTTGAGAAATCCTCCCCACAGAATCTAGAGGTCTCAGCCTCTGGGAATTGATAAACATCAACATTTGCCAATATAATGTCGGATTCTCTTTATGCTGATGGAGTGAAGCGGCACTCGGGTCAAACGCTCCAATCAGCTTAAAGAAAAAAATGAAAAAAATCTGCTGATTGGGTGTTTGAAGTGAAGGCGGGATCACTGGACCGGAGTGAAGATGACTTCTCATAAATGGTCTTATAATGCTCTTTGTATCGTCAGCAACGATTGATTGGTAATATCTCATCTATAATACTAAATCCTGGCATAGGTCGGTCATTACGATGCCCTGGCAATAAAGAGTCTATAAGAGCAAATCCTCCCTTATCTGGTCTTTTACGAATTACAGATCGGTTAGGGTCATGAGGACCGCTTGGTAATATGTCATCTATGAGACCTATTCCGGCCTTATCTGGTGTTTTACGAATTAGAGATCGGTAATGGAGATATTTGGGTGTCTTTGACAGAAATTCAGACAATTTAAGATCCGGATTTTGGCTTTGTTCACAATTCTTAACAATCCCATTGAAGGGTGTTCTTGGCGTGACGTCCTCCATCTTGCCGCGTCCTGGTACTGCTGTTGTTTCATCCTTAGAGTGATTCCCTCCCCTTGTGACTCCGCTGATGACGGACTGGCCTTCTCTGTGGTAACAGTAGAGGGGTGACCACACCATTCTCTTTATAAACATTGAGATGTTATTTCCATTATCTCCTCGTCCCCCCGGGCCTGTCATGGCTGAAGAGTCATCCGGACGCTCGTTGCAACTTTGGCAGGGATTGTTCACCGGATCCTGGTCATGTGACCGTCGGCCATCTTGTCCCGGTGTCTTCTCGCTGCTCTCTCCTTGATTTCTCATGATCCCAACCTGATTATGACACAATGACATTAGCAGTAGAAGCACAATACACTGCAATCAGGATAGAGAGGGGGTTCTGGTGAATTCTATATCTCAGGGGTCAAGTCTGGCCACTGGGAAGGGGGGTGACATTGCCAAATTCACTGGGACAAGTCAACCAGTAACAGACCACGTGTTGTCTATTACTCCCCCTCCATTTTTAAAAGGGAACCTCTAAATCAGGGGTGTCAAACTCAATTTAATCGTGGGCCGCATCAACATTATGGTTGCCCTCAAAGGGCCGGTTGTATCTGTAAGACTATATAAATGTATCTAATCTTTATCATCATTGCCTCTGCATTCGATTATCACTGGTCTTAAAGCTACAGGAGAGGTGCGAGGGCCACATGAAATGGCCTGGTGGGCCGGATTTGGCCCCTGGGCCTTGAGTTTGACACATGTGCTCTAAATGGAAGCCACTGACAAAAGCCTTTGGTGGCTAACACAAGCCCTTAGATTTGTGGCCAGCGCAGATATTTATCACCTGTCCTTGCAGCACCGGGGTCCACACAAGGATTGTGTTTGTATGTTCTCCTATGTCTACGAGAATTTCCTGGTAATTTAACTGGATTCCCCCGAGGTTGGACCCATTGTGTGTGTTTTAGAGCCCCTGTACAAGGTAGAACTAGAGCGTCCCGCTACGTTGATAGCGCAACCTGTAAGAATCTACAGAATCTAGATACACCGTGTGTGCTGTATTCTGTTATGCAAAATGTCTTAAATCGGAAGGGGTGGGACTAATTTAACTTAGGGATTGGGGGGCGGGGGGGGGCTGCTCCGGTTTAGTCTTGCCAAGGGCAGCACAAAACCAAAATACACCACTGGATAAGATACCTCGTTTGTCATTGCATGCAAGACACAGTGGTTTAACTCAACCACTCTTAGGGAGCATAATTGTGTCCCATTTTTGGTAGTAGTGGAGGAATTGTACCACTATGTTTGTGTCGGCTGAAGGAACAGTAGATGGAGTATGTCTGTGAAAACAGGGGTTGGTACCTTGCAGCATACGTTTGGACTCCACAGTAAAGGGTCACAAAGCTGATACTACATAAGACCCAGAAACAATTGCTAAATGAACGTGTGCGGCAGACCCGTTTCACAGTTGATGCCTTAAAACATACTATCAATCAGCTAGAAGAGAGCCTGATTCTATAGCTACCTGCTGATATTTGGAGGACAGTAACAGACTTCACGGCACACGCGCAGCTAGCTCAGCACACTGAGGGCAAGGAGAGGCAACAGAAGAAGTTCTCCATTTTGTTATCCCGAACTGGAAATAGCCATACTAGAGAAGAATTATCTTGGAGGCAGAAGGAGGAAAGGGGGACATTGCAGAAAAAAAGAGAAATGGGTGAAGAACCTTTCAGACAGGGTTGTCACCCAGCCCGAGATGGATGTCCTTGCTAAAGGGTTGAATTTGGCAATCACACCCAGGACCATCCCTGTAGTGGATATTATCTCAGCCACTGAGGCCTCGATCCACAGTAACAAAGTGCCACAGGGTGAGGCTAAACCACTGCGCCTAAAAGTGTCTGCAGCCCTGGCCAGTGCCAAACCACCTCCGTCAAACCTGACTACACAAGAAAGGAGGGCGGTCGCTTCCCTGAAGAAAGACAAGAGTATCACCATCCTGCCTGCTGATAAAGGAAGATGCACATTTGTACTTTAATACATCTGACTACGATGATAAGGTGTGCCGCCCCTCAAAACATTTAGGCAGCCGGGCTGCACAGAAACCGGCAGCCTGGCTGCCTGATGTCGACAGGGAGGAAGCGGCGGCGGGGGAGAAGGAGGAGACGGGGGACGGAGAGGCAGGGGGTAGAGACAGAGGAGATGGGGGCGGAGACGGAAGAGGAGGAGTGAAGACGGAGGAGGCGGAGGGGGGAATACTACAGTGGAGGGCAGAGACGGCGATGGAGGAGGCAGGAGGCGTCGCAGAGGCTCCAGTCGGGCGGCAAGGCAGCGATGGAGGATGGGTTTCCTTTGCCAGGTAGGAGGATGACTGTGCTGGCAGGGCCCAGCATAGATTATGCACAGTCCACCAAAGAGTCTCAGGTGGGCTGTGCAATTCCCTTTGGTGGGCTCTACAGGATCTACAGCCCCCCTGAGATCCAGCAGACTGCAGGGTCTCAGGGGGTCTCTGCAGGATCTATGGGGGGCTTTACTGGGTTTTAGGGGGGCTTTGCAGTATCTGTGGTGGGCTTTGCAGGATCTGTGGTGGGCTTTGCAGGATCCGTAGGGGGCTTTGCAGCCTACAAAGCCCACCACAGATCCTGCACAGCCCCCCTGAGATCCGGCAGACCGCAGGGTCTCAGTGCAGAAACTGTGGGGGGCTCTGCAGGGTCTCAGGGGGCTGTCCAGGATCTGTGGTGTGCTCTGCACACCATTGACCTCGCAGAGCTCACCACAGATCCTGCAGAGCACCCCTGATACCACAGCCTAATAGCGGAACATGTCAAAAGCTGGATACAGAGTGTGCACTGTATCCAGCGACTGTCAGGTTACGCAAAAAGTATTTAAACAGGAAGGTGTGGGGTAAATTTAGGGGGGGGGGGGGGCCCCGGGTGTTCCCTTTCT